CAGCTGCAGGAAGTTCACACTGGTGGCATCTGCATCCATCATTCCTTATCAGAATTACCCAGGCCAGACATCCTGGGCAGAGGGATTTTCCTACCCTGGGAGATGTGGGTGTGCAGGACATCTTATGGTGGGGCAGAGAGGAGAAAAAAACACATCATTCCCTACACTAAGGAACCATTACCCCCTGTAGGCACGAAACCACACCTCGGTGCTGGGATTTCTCTACCATTTTATGTGTTGCTCCCTCAAAACACACCTGCTGCTAAAAGAAATCATGGAAACACACAGGACTCCAATGTCTTTACCCAAACTGCTCTGGTTTTGCTTTTATCCACTTGGATCTCCCTGTGATGCTTTGGGGCTTAGGGAAGGGGGGGGAAAGCATGTGGTTAAAAAAAATCCAAACGTCCTTGATTTTTCACAAAGCATCCTGGCTTTTGATAAGATCTTCATCAAGCATTCATTGAGCCAATTAAGCTCTCAGTGGTGCCCCAGGGAGAGGCCAGGCTGTCTCAGCCAGGCCCTGCTCAGAGCAATTGCTTCATTAGCCCACTTCAGAATGAAAATACATAAAGCTACTAATAACCCTTCAAAAACCAGGGCAAATTAAAAACGACAAGGACACATTAATTTATCTCCATCCTTTTCTTCTTTGCTCTATCTGAAATAGGAATTTGTTGTGGTTTTTTAAATCTAGAAAAAAAGTTGGCACGTGCAACTGTTGAAACAGAATCCTAGTTAAAATAATGTTGCAATTGTTATCAAAGCACAGAGTGCTTGCTTCATTCTAGTGGCTGTTTTTGGAAGAATGCTGCTTCTAGAAGAGGGAAAAAAATTTTGTTTGGGACAGAGATTCAAAGCCAGATCCAAAATTTCCAGGTGGTTGGAGACAGCTGAATCGAGGCCCACTTCCAAGCTGATTTGTATTTACTTTACATATACACACAAAGACACATACAGTCCTGAAATCACTGTTCCTGACATACCACAGGCCTGTGATTCCTGCTACTACTTACAACACAAATAGCCAAATCCAGAGAGGAAGATTAAGATGCCATGAGGTTGGTTCCCCTATTTACTAGGTCTGGTGCTGATTTTTTGGCTTGGTTTTTAGGGACAAGGACTTTGCTGCCATGACCCTGGGCCTGCCAGCACAGCCCCTCCACGTGCAGTCCTCCCCAACATGCCCAAATCAACTCCTCCTGATAACAACCAGAATTAGTGGATTTAGTTGCTCCAATTGCATTCATATTGCAGTTCTGGCTGCTTGTTTCTGCCACCAAAACTCCGAGATGCTGCCCAAGGCTAGAGTGGGAAGCTACTGCTCCACAAAGCCAAAGGAAAGTGGGACAAGCCACAGCTTTAGCATAAACCTTCCTGGCTTCTCCTGGCACCTGCAGAGCATGAGTCAACCCTTGGCTTTAATGCCTTTTAAAGATAATGCAGGGAGGAAAGAGGCAGCCTCCACAGGGAACGTCTGTCCACACACAGCCATATATCCCACCCCAGGGCACCACCTCTGCTGGGTGACATGTATAGCCCAGCTTTGGGTTGACCCCCACTTGCAGCAGCAAGATGAGGCCTGGGGCACCATCTTGGCTGTCAAATGTGGCCCCTGCATGGCTCCAGGGCTGGGCAGAACTCCCTGACATGGGCATTGTGCTCCCAGCACTCCCATCCCACAAGTGCTGCCCGAGCACACAGGCTGACTCAGGGACATCAAAGAGGGTCAGACACTGGCAGCACTTTGAAGTCAAGAGGATCAAGGCAGCTGCCAAGGGTCTTTGTGCCAGTTCTTTTGGCACAGAGATCAAGGAAGAAGAAGAGAAAATCAGATAAAAAGCACGTAGCAGGCAGCTCCCTGAAACTACAGAGTTCACTGACTTAACAGCGGTAGTTGCACAAGTGTCTGTGACACCTGGGCTGACAGTGATGGGCCAGAAGAGCCCCAAAGCCAAGGTGACAGCAAGAACTTGGAAGAATGCTCTCAAAAGCCTTATGGTCACCTGCAGTCAGTCTCAAAGCATCCCTGGCTGTCCACCTACAGGTCACAAGGACTGAAACGTCACCTCCCCAAACCCGCCCGCTTGAGGGATGAGGGGACAGGGGACAAAGCCCAGAGCAGCAGTGGAATCACCCAAAGCAAAGAGTAGAGCCAAGCAGTGGTGAGCTCCTGGGTAAGGCAGGGATGATTTGCATTTATTTTAAGTCACGTCAGTGGAACATGACACTATCAAAGCTGTCTGAGTAGTTCTACATGCTCCTTTCAGAAACAGGCACTTCCGAGCCCAGCACGGCCTCTGTGCCCCAGCCTCGCTCAGGTTTCAGGGGACAGACAGCCAGGGTGAGCCAAGACACTTTACCCCACTCAGTGGTTTGCACTCTATGGCTTTCTGTTGTGCTGCACAGGAAAGAGCTAGGAAAAGCTTACAGACCTGTATCTGCACCTCAAACACTCCCAGATCCATCCTTGGGATGCTGGCACTCTGCTGGGGCTCCTGTCTGGAAAGTGGAGCAGAGGGAGCAGGGGAGCAGCAAGCTGGTGGCTGTCCCTTGGCTCCACTGCTGTCTCGAGCTCCTCATGGCACTGGCAGACCCCTGACCCAGTGGGGCCAGACTGAGGGCAGGATGTGGGCCCACAGCCACAGCATGGTTTGCGTGCTCATCATATATTTTTAACACCTCTTTGACTCACAAGGCTCTAAAAAGCACCCGGATTCTCCAAATGCTTTTGAACTCTTCCACCAAACATCCCCGGAGCCCAGAATACCCCCAGGTAGTCCACTTTGCAAACAGGTTCCTGTTGCAGCCTCCCAAGGGAAGAGAGATGTGCCTTTCCAGCCCATGGGAGGGGAGCAAGAGCTGGACAGGGGAAAGGAGCGGAGCTGGAAAGGGGCAGTGGGTTTGTTTACAGGCACAGACCCAGCACACAGAGAGAGGCTGCTGGAAGCAGTCCTTGGCCCCAGGGTCATTCTCACCCCTCAGCCCATCCGCCTCCTCTCCACCCGCCTCTCCTTTCGGCTCCTAAAAAGGATCCCTCCCTGTTACATAACGGAGTAAGCAGATTGGGCCTCGCACACACGGCCTCCCTTTACTTAACAATACCTTTTTCGGTCATGGAGCCTTCCTCTCCCCCTGCCATCCAACTGACACTCAGGGGAGATGGATAGTGCCTGGCTCCAGCTATTCCAGCTACGGAAGGAGGGGAAAGAGGAGTCTGGTGGGATGCTCCATGCAGAGAATGGTGAACAGAGCGGGTAGGGAGATCCCAGAATGGACACCGTGGTCACAGCAATCACTTGATGTCACTGTGAAAAAGACCCCAAGGGAGAGGGAGATTGGCTCTTGGGAGAAACTGGTTCTTGGTATGCTTTTTGTTGGTTTGCGGGTATTTCTATCACTCTGCACTGAATGTGCCTCATGCCAGAGCAGAATCATCTTGCAGCTGCAAGGAGGCAGCAGGAGCAGCACCTACTCACCAAATACAAACTGGCAGAGAAGCACCTAGTGGCAATCTCCTTCCTAACACTCAAAACACTTCCAGGGCACCTCCTCTCTGCCCCATACCACCTCACCCACTGACAGGAACAGGGAAGGACCATCTCTTGAAGGGATGATGCCCTTGCCTGTCTCCTTCACATCAGACCTGTGGACTATTGACTGTCCCAGAACAAGAGCAGAGTCAACCTCAACATGTGGATTTCAGCATGGACACAGGGTTTGTTCAAGGGGTTGTATTTGCACCCTGTCCTGATGGTGACACGGAGAAGCCACCGTATCACCTCCAGGCAAAGCTCTGCCTGCAATGGGTTTACCCACACCTGTTGAAGCAGAGCAGCTACAAACACACTCCCTTCACTCTGCTCCACCAGCACAACTCACAGAGTTCCTGCACCTTTCAGAGCTAGGCATGTGCTGTGTGTATCCCAGCTTTCTAGTGGAAAATACCAATGCCACACATGGGTGCTGCAGGTTCCCTGGGTGAGCAGGACACAGCTTAACAGGAGGTGATGACGTGCCTGTTCAAGCTCTCATACCTCTCTGCTTACACACAGGGATTGGGTTCCAGCTCATTTCCCAAGAGACCAGATCCCATTTTGGAAAAATGGCAGCAACGCCCACCTCCTGCCACCCAAGGGAACAGACCCAGGAGTCAAGGCAGCAGTGCCTGACCTCAAAGCACTTTGGCAACCTCTACTGAGTGCAGTTTAAGTTACCAGCTCAGTTATAATGTGCTACCCTGCACATTCTGATGCCAACTCTGGATGCCTGCAAGAGCGGGAAAAGCTCTGCTCCAAGATTCTCCCAAGCCCAAGTCCTTCAGGGCTCTAAAGAACCACAGCCTCAGTTAGTGATAGCCACCAACCTACACCAGAAAACAGGAATGCTCTGTTTGTGTGTCTTGGCCTAGAGCCTTACCACCCAGAGACACTGGCCCCAGGACAGCTTGGCGAGTCCATCCTAGCTGGAAAGGAAGCCTGTTCCCACTCCATGTGCATGTCCCTGCCCCAGGCATAGGCACTGCTGGCCCAGGGCAGAGCAGGGGGTGCAGCAGTGAGAGCAGAGGCCCTGGCAGGCCACACTCTGAGCTGTTTTTGACAAGTTGCTGTTCCCTCGGCCTGTTTACTTTCCTTTTGTAGATAGAACAAGCTGAGCCACTGGGCAGTGAGACCAGGAGGCCGGTTCTCTCTGGAGAGCCAAGGAGCTGGGCACTGTTGCCTTTTCATGAGGCAAGACTCCCATTCCCAGGGCTGGATCCTTCCTTTCCCTGTTATTAAGGGATAGCAAACTGCCTGCTACAGTTGCATCCTTGCTCACAGGGAAAACAGTTCCTAGTGCAAATCTCTAAGAGGTTTCTTTTACACAGCACCTTCTTTACAGAACCTTGTTTGATGCTCAGAAAACATTTACCCACACTCAGGCATGAGCTCCATTTAAGACTGTGACTCCAAAGGGAATTTACCCTCCCAGAGCTGCCAGGTTGCTCATTCAGGCTTTACCTTTGAATAAGGGTCCCAAAGAGCAGGTTGAAGACCTTCTGAATGTTCTCTGTGCACAGCCAGCTCCAGTGATCCACCAGCACCAGGCGAAGCACATCCAGGGCCAGATCAGCTAAAGCTGTCTCAGAGTCTGACAGGAGGAAGAGGAGGGTCAGATGAAGAAACCAATTCAGTGCCTGAGCAAACCTGGTGAAAAGCATCATCCCAAACTCACTCTTTCCTCCAAGTCTGGCACTTTGTGCCACGCACAGATGACCTGCTGCAGCTCAGCCAGTCCGGGGAGCCTGCCCTTACCACTCTTTCATTTCTACTTCCATACAAGCAGCCTTAATCTCCCCACAAAGGGCCACACCAAACCAGAATGTAGTTGCTCCGAGGGCTCAGTTCCTTCTCAGTTGAAGAGAGGATGACAATGTGCCCAAAACAGGTGAGAATGAAAGTAGTCACTGTAGCTAGAGAAAGGTACACTGCTGAAGACTATTTTCCTGGTCTTCCCCATCACTTTCCCCTCTTCCAAGAGTTTTCCAGGCACAAGGTTCCAGTGGGTGGCTGCTTTCTCATCTGTTTTTGGCACACTGCCATCCCTATACGTAGACCGATAGTTGATAAACCCTCTGTTTCACTGAGAAGGAACTGAGCCCAAAAAGGGGAGAAAGCAGGCAGTGACTGCAGCCAGCAAAAGCTACACTGCTGAGGACTATTTTCCTGGTCTTCAGGAAAATTTTCTGCTCTTCGAGAGTTTCCCAGGCACAAGGCTCCAGATGGTGGCTGCAGGCTGCCATCGTGTGGCAGATTCCAATCTCTGCAGGAAGGTGGATAAACCACACGTATGTTAAAACACAAACCCATACACGTCCTCACATATCCCTGCTGACACAAGCCTGGGACAGCACAACCTCTTTCTGATCCTCAGGAGCACATCAAAACCTTCAGTGTAAACACCTTCTACTTGCTGGAGAATTACTTTTGGCCCCAAAGCACTTGAGGTGTTGTCCTGAACAGGCTCATTAATGTGCCACAAACCCGCCTGGGGTAGCCACTCCTAGGCCAGTGCCCCGACCTGAGCCTAATGCCAGGTTGGCCAGGTGAGATCAGGTGCAGCAGCTTTTCCTAATTTGGATTCCCTGATGCCTCATCTTCCAACCACTCTGCCTATAGAAAATTTACAAACACAACCTACTGCTGAAAATAAAGGGAAGAGGGGTTCTGGACCTTCTCCTTCCCTCCTCTTCCTCTCCCCACTGCGTACACGCAGGACTAATTAACTCCAGGCCACTTCACTTGGAAAAGACAGGGCACTTGGCCCTCTTGCTCTGGGCCATGTCTAAGCTATTCCTCACTTGCTTTGCCCTCTGATACTTGACTTCCCAGTGCAGAGCCAGAAGCAGGCTGTCCAGTTTCCCCACAACCTCATAGAGGGACCATCCTCAGCAAACTCCATTTATTTCTGGAGCATTCAAGTCCTCTTCCTCAGAGAGATGCTGGCCAACCTCTTCCCAGTAGTCACTCCATGAGCAGACAGGGACACAGGCTGCCTTTTTATCCAGCTGCTCCAGACGTTTGTTCCCCTCGCCCTGCCAGCCCAGCCTGAAACATCCCAGACCTGCAGGCATTTGCCATCACTGACATTCCATCTCCCTCAGAGTTCAGGGAACTTGGTGCACAGCCCTGGCCTCCAATGCCAGTCCTGCCTCCCCAAAATCATGTGTTCCAAGATTATAGGCAAAGCTGGTAGCACAAGCTGAGTTTCAGAACACCAGACCCATCCTGTCACAAGCACATGTCAGAGCTTGCCCAACTTGAAACACTGGAAAGAAATTTTGGGGAAGTTCCAGCTGATACAGCTCAGCAATTCCAAGAAAAAGATTAGAGAACATATTTTCGCTTGTGTTCAAGATAATCTTGTAACTGTTTTGAGAAGCTGTGGCACCCCTGTGCTTCAGAGGAGGGATCTAGAATCAGAAAGGGAACATCATTCCTTGAACTGGGATTACATTTTTGCTACTCCCATCAAATCTATCCAAACTTGATCTCAAAAGGTCCTTTTATAGTGCATGGACATATCAAGGCTAATTCGAGACTACCAAGAAACTGCAATTTGGCCATTTTTCAGTTTCGAGGAGCTTGATTTTATAACATTGCCAGTTAAGCACTGTGTCCTTAAAAAACTTATTTGTGCAGTGACAGTGCTGAGTCCGCAAAGGTGAAGATCCAAGAGGAGCCAAGACTCAATTTGCTTTCAACAAAGCCCAGAGTAATCACCAAACAGGACTGGAAAAACTCAGTTTGCTTTCCCTTCAATCAAGGGCAAGAAGAACAGGTCCTGAAAACACTGTAAATTGATTGGAGCTGTTGGAGCTGTTGTGGTCCCAAAGGAGAGAAATTAAAGCAGTAACAGAGGGGCTGAGCTCACCGGAGTCTGTGTCCAGATGTGTCCCATCCGCATCCTCCTGCACAGAGCTTCCCTTAGGTTCTCTGCCTCCCTCGCCTTCAGGAGCTTTGCTAGGGATTGCTTCCAGCAGCTTCTCCTGCTTCTGGATGAAGGATTCCATAGCAGCCAGCGACAGGGTGCCAGAGACCTACAAAAGCCAAGCTGTATTAGTACCACACAGGCCTGGATCCCACTGATCAGACAACTACCCACCTCCTTTGTCTGCACTTGGTGTAGCCAACAACACATCCAGGCTTGCTTACTGTCCACCTGGCACATGGGAATAAGGCTGCAGCAACCACAACCCTCGTGCACATGGATTATTCCAAGTCAGCACCCAAACAGGGCAGTGATTGGGATCGTGAAAGGATTCCAGGAGGGATATGAACTTACAGCACTGCCCTCCCTGATGGAGTACACTATCCTGTCATGAGCTTCACTCACACTCAGCACTGGAGTGATTTTACTAGATGAGAACCTCAGCCTGGACCTGAAAAGCAGAAACATGGCACAGTCAGTTTTCTCTGCAAGTTGTTAGTGATGAGTTTTCCAGCCTCCACCAAGACCGAGGACCAGCCTCAGCCAAGACCCAGGACCAGTTATCTTTGCCCAGTGCCACATCCAAGCTAGAAAGCCTGATTAGACCTCATCATGGCTAGGCTTCGCGAACGAAGATTTGGGAAGGCTCTATCCACATTTGTTACAAGCATGCTGGTGGCTTATGAGGCCAATACGTGACAGACATATCCGATTGCAAAAGGCACAGCAGAAAGACTCCTTAGATGGTGTATTCTGCAATACACGGTTCTTTCTGCGTTGCCTTTTCTCCTCGAGAGTGATCCTGCGTGTGTTCTCAAAGGAGACAGCTGCGTTATAGATGGTGTGTCTCCAGGCCTCCCGATTGGAGGCCAGAGTAGACCAGTTATGGTGATCAATATGGCCAAGGCTGAGATGCTGTTTCAGGGAGTCCTTGTATCTTTTCTTCAGGGCTCCTCTTATGTGGCAGCCAGTGGCAAGTTCACCATAAAGCAAGATCTCAGGGAGGCGGTGGTTGGTCCTTCATCCTGGAGACGTGCCCTGCCCAGCGCAGCTGTGTTCTCATCAACATGGCCTCAATACTTGTGACAGCAGCTTGCTCTAGAACAGATGTGTTGGTCACATAGTCTGACCAGTGGATGTTTAGGATTGTACGGAGGCAGCGTTGATGGAAGCATTCTAGGAGACGCAGGTTAGACCTAAAGTGGTTCAAAACCAGCACCTGCGCCCAGGATAACTAAGAGGTAGCAGCAAAACCAGGCAAAAAAACCATTAAAGCATTTTTCCTGACCTACACCTGAGCCAAGGCTTTCCAACATTCCACACACAGACAGGTGTGTTACACGGAAGCCAACAGGCAGATGTAGGCAGATATCAGTAAGGTGTGAACATTCCAGCATACTCAGGGAAGTGTGCAGAAAAGCCTCTGAGATGAAACATACTCAGCAGGATTGTGAAATCCAATCATAAAGACACACAGAAAGGAGAGTATAAAAGGATGCTCAGGATTATGGGACAAATCATAAAATAATGTCTATCATTAAGGAATGTCCTTTTCAGCCAAGATGGTTCCAAACTTGTACTTTTTTGGTTTGTCTTTTTGTTCAAAGCAGCTTTTTCCAGCAAAACATCACTTTTTGGGAAGAAAAAGCACTATTTGTGCAGAAACCTTCCCTTCTTCAGTGAGGGAAGAATCACTAATGAGCACAATGAGGTTTGGCACTGCCAGCAGCACCAATAAACACTTGGTGAGCAACACACATGCAATGACCTTCAATATTACTCCTAAATAAACATTCAAATGTGTTTTTTGCAAGGCCACTGTGTGGAACACATGGGAGAGGCAGGAGGTAACCTTCAGGTAGATAATTTATAGCTGCATTTTCCAGTCACTCATGACATATATGGGTCATGCACATGTTTAAGGTTAAAAAGGAATTCCCCGGGAGCAACAGTGTCTCTGCTGGTAAATGGCAGCACATGACAGATCCCCTGGGAAGAAAACCACCTTCTGTGGAAACCTGAGCATTCCTGGGAAATCCTTTGGATAACAGTAAGGGAAGAAGAAAGTAATTTGGTTAAAGTACAACAACACATAAAGCACCAGGTCAGTTCTTTCCCACAACGGGCTTAGTTTATGCATTAATTCCTTATTCTGCAAAGCTGGAGAAGCCCTTACTTGGTCGCCTTCTTCCCATCTGTCTGGGACTTTCCATCCACTTCAGACTCGCTCAGATCCTCCGTGGGGCTCTGGGGCTCTGACCTGGGGAATGCCGTCTTCAGAGTGTCCACAATAGCATTGACAACGATCTGCAAGGCCAGCAGTGCCATTAATTACTGAATAGATCCTTACTCCTTAAAGATATTAAGAGTTTTCAAATTTGCACTGTATTTGCTATTAAACCCCAGGTTCTTTGAGATGGGGTCTGACCCTCCCCAGCTTTATGGCTTTCTGAGCAAGCTGAGCCCAGCTACAGAATGCTGGAGTTTTTTGGCTCCTCATAGATGCTGAAGCCTAAGAGAGATGTCCAGGTGGAAGGGGCTCAGGTAACCAGTCTCCTGCTTTCCTACCTTGTCTATCCTGGAGACAACAAAGGGCTTCTTGACAAATGCGATCCTGGCGTCTGTGTTGAGGGCAAGAAATTCCTGCACCTCCTCACTGTTGGCAATTTCAGGGACTGCACACAATTGCTGCAAGGAGAGATGGAAATTTAGGGTTTTCTGGAGTCAACTTCCCAGCTTGATCATGTAATGTAGAAGAGATCTGATGTCACATCTGCTTTTAGCTCACACGGGCACACAAATATCTCACCTTTAAGAAGGATTCCAGCAGACTTTTCCTGGCTTCCACTTTATCGCTGTCCATGTTTCCAAAGGGGAGATCAGGGAACAGTTTCTTTGGGCCTTTGATGTCTACAAAGGAAACAAAGCCATGAGCACGTTCGAGAAAACTGGAAAAAAATTAATCTTAATTTAAAAGATTTTAAAATCCAAGATTAAAAATTAAGATTTTAAAATCTAAATACAGATTTTAGTCTGTATTAAAACCTTAATGCTCTCATAGTTAAGACTATCACCACACACTGCCCAAGGCAAGACACCCCTCGAACCAGGGTTGTTGAATCAGACCTTCAATCCATATGGAATCTGTGTTCTGCTGGATTTCACATCTTCCATGCTTTTAAGTTAAAAACAGCAAGAACAAGGACTCTAAATTGCTCCAAGAGCCCGAATATTCTCAACAAAGCAGTTTTGTAGTCAATCTGTCAGAACCAAGGAATTATGTTGGAACATGCTAAACTCCATGGAGCTTTATATAGAAGTAGCATTAGAAGAAATACTGTTTTCTTCCTAAAAAAAGCTCATGTTTGACACATATTTCTATTTTCTTCTATGCAAACAAGATTCTTTCAGACACCAGTGTTTCCACTCACTGTTAAGGTGCAAAGCTACAAAACTGGGTGTTGTGATCAAAAAAAAAAGAATATTTTGAAACACTGGAATTTGCAGCCAAAAGAGATAAACCCTCCAGCCAGCTCTGCACAAAACAACAGAGATGTGTGCACAGACAGGGCAGAAAACCCTCAGAGCTGAGAAGCATGGAATGGGATGAGAGGGAGAGGATTTACTCCAAGAGTTAATGCAGGCACTGACTTTTGAGGAACTTGCGGAGCTCCGGTTTCTCCTCCAGCCGGGTCTGCAGGTTGAGGAACTCCCGGTAGCGGCGGTTCACGGTGTGATAAGCCACCTGCTGAAGGCTCCCTGCACCCTCACCCTCCAGGACTGTCTCATACTGAGGAGGAAGGCAACAGGAATAATCCTTACACATTCCCAAAACAATCCCAATGCGCTGCTGGCCCCAAAATTCCCAGGACCCTTCCATCCTCACATTAACCCTTCCCTGAAGATGAAGGAACCCATCCCAATGGAACAACTGGCAAAAACAGAACACAAACGACTCTAGCAGCCTCATGTGACCCTTGGCTAAAAGTGGGAACTCCTATCCCGCACCCTGTGCCTGATATTCCCTCACTGCCAGACAAAATTTGTTGTGGAGACACTCACAGAGCAAATCCTCACCTCCAAACACCAACCAGTGCTCCAGTCAGGGCAGGGATTTGGGAAAAGAGGTGAATGCCAGGGGAGCCCTTACCTTGACAGTGTACAGGGTATATGGGTGGAAGCCAGTCCCACTGTGCTCCCGGGCAGTGATGGTCCCAGTTATCCGCAGGCTCTGGATCACGACCGGCCCGTCAGGGCTGCTCAGGGGCTCAAAGCTGAAGGTGCTCATGGAAGCTGTTGGGGAGGATGAAAGCAGGGGCAGGGACTGCCCGGCCTCTGGGGGGATATGTGGTAGGCCCTCTGCTGCCCCCAGATCTCTCCCCAGAACAGAGGGTCTCTGCGAGGAGAACTTCCTGGGGACTGCTGGGCTTTCCTCCTCCTTCTCCACCACCGGCTCAATCTGGATGTCAGGGCAGGAGCTCAAGGCAGAGGTGGAAAGCAGCCCAACATCTGAGCTGGGGGCAGGGCCCTCCTCCAGGTCTCCCGTTCCATCTTCCAAAGAGGCCAGGCCCTCTGGCACAGAGGGGTCCTGGGGGGGCTCATCAAGGAGCTCCCCAGTGGGGGATGGTGCCAGCAGGTCCCTGTCCTGGCCCACACTGGGCGTGGAGGATTCCAGCTCCAAACCCTCGCAGGGGAAGAGGGATCCCAGGGCTTGGGGGCGCAGGAAAGGCTCCTCTGTGTGGCACGACCTCCTTATCTCCTCTCCCTCCTCGCCAGCAGTCCCTGCCTCTCTCCTGAGCCCCTCCACAGCCCTCGGGGAGGGAGGTAGCCCGGCAGGAGCCGTATCCATCTGTGCTGGGAAGGGCAAGGAATCTGGCACTGGGGGTGCAGTGTGGGGCTTCCCACTGCGGGGCTTCTTGGAGAACATCCCAATGAGCAGCTGATTGATCCAGTCGGGATCAGACATCTTCCTGACGGCCGGCAGCAGCACATTGCAGGCCACCAGCTCCACCACCACGAAGCGTCCCGTCCGCGTTTCCAGGTGTGGCCACGGCACCAACGCCTGCAGCAGCGTCTCCACGGCCGCGCGGGCACATCCGACCTCGGCCGCGGGGCTGAGCAGGGCAGGATGCGGCCCTGCCAGCCGGCTGTACTCCTGCCACAGCGTCCCACCGCCTTTAGGGTCGTCCCTCAGGGCGTCCCGTGCCCGCAGGAAGCTCTGGAGGTGTTGCCCGCAGAGCAGAAGCAGGCGGCGGGCCAGGGCTCGGCGGTCTACCCGCGCCATGCGCCGCCGCAGCTCCGCAGCCAGGCCCACCATGGCCCTCTCCACCTCGGCCTCGAAGGCCGGCTCCCTGCTCACCGTGCGGTACCACGAGGCCACGAAATCCCGCACCACCTTACGGATGGTGCTGGCGATCTCCCGCTCCAGCCGCGCCTCGTCCGCGGGGCAGCCGGGCGGGGCCCGCAGGGAGCTTCACGAAGCGCTCCAGGCAGGCAGCCGGCGGCCGGGGGGAACAGGGCCGGGGGGCCAGCCAGCCCCCCAGCACCGCCAGGGCCGCACAGCAGCCCCAGCGCCGGCAGGTCCAGCGCAGTGCAGGGCCAGCAGCCCAGCGCGACCACCAGGGCCAGCAGCGGCCGGGCGGGACCGCGAGGGGCCCTGGCCCGGCATGGTGCGGGTGGGCGATGGGGCTGCCAAGCGCCAAACACCCGGGCTGGTCAAACGAGAGACAGGGCTTGGCACAGCTCGACCCGTACCGGCTCTCGTCACGGACCCTCCCAGCTCGGGCTCCTTGAGGGGGTACTGGGGCTCAATTGAGCAGGACGCTCAGCAGGCACTGGAGTTCGTCAGGGAGCCCCAGCCCGGGCTCTTCACTGGGGCTCATGGAACACAACAGTCCAGGCCCCCTGACTGGGTACCAGGGCTCAACCACCCAGGACCCTCACTGGGGCTTGTCAAGGACCTCCAGACCGGTCCCTTCACCGGACCCCGGAGCCCCTCAGGCCCCCACCGCCCAGGCCCCTTCAGCCGGTACCGACAACATAAACTCCCACAGCCCCGGCGCTGCCAAGCCGACACCACCACATCGAGACCCCTGGCCCCGACTCACCACCCCGGGCCCACCGGCGGCACCGTCCACTACTTCCGCTTCCGTCCCGGTGCTCCCTACAGCGCCCCCTGGCGGCGCGGAGGACGCACGGGAGTTCTCGTAACCGAGTCGTTGAGATTTAAAAATGAAAAATTAAAACAATAATAATTTTTTAAGACTTCGCAGCAGCGCGAAATAAGTTTCCACCTCCACATGTTTTATTTTAGATGCGTTAGGAAAAGTGTAAAACCGCAATCAATTCATCTTTTATTTATCCTTATTGCTATTATTCATATGGATGAGAAATAAAATTTAAAAATTAAATTTATTTAATTCATTAAAATTTATTATGAATGTGTTAAAACTAAAATAAAGGAAACCCGAAAACTATTATCAACCCCATAAAAAACCTATTATTCAGCTAAAACTTATTAAAACTAGATAAAGGAAAATAATGTCTTTTTCTACTATTGCTGGAAAAGTTTTGGGAAGGTGTTACTGCAAATTTTGATTGTTCTTAATGATGATGTTTGTGTTTGGTGCTGAGAAACTCCTTGGCTACAACTTAAACAAACCTGCCAGGGATTTTCTGCTTCGTCTCTGTGTGTGGTTGTGGCTCTTGGGTTTGTATTTAGAGCAAAAAATAAACTACAAACGGGAGGAAGAAGTTGCTCCGGCCCATGGAAGTGGGAATTGGATGGGATTTGGGAGCTACAGGTGCCTGGGATGGGGAGCAGGATGTGAAATTGCTCATTTGTAGTGAAGAATTTTGCAATGCTATAATAATTGCCCCAAATATGTAATTTTTGAGAGTGTCTTTTAGCTGTATGTGAGTGGTACAGAAGGATAAGGTAGCAAAGAAAACTTTGTTTAATAAAAACCTTATTTTTTAATCAAAACCTTTTCATTTGAATCAAAGGTTTCCTGGTCTTTTTTTCCCAAAGGGTGGTGGTTTTAAGCTTTCAAAGGGGTTCTTTGCACCCTGAATCCTCTGGGAAGCAGAGCTGTGATGCTGGTGTGGTACATCCCTGAAATTCCTGCACATCCAAGGGTGGGTTTGGGTGCTGGAGCTGCTTATGTGCAGGTTGTGCTGTGCCCCTCATGGTCTGGGTGCTGCCGCCCCTATTTTAGTGTATTATGGTGTAAATACTTATGTTAGACAAGCCCCAGTACCTGGTATCATGTGCCAGGTGGGTGTGAATAAATGCTGAAGCAGGTTTGGGGTTTTTTTGGAAGCAAAATGTATCTTATAAACTGTTTCTGCCTCCAAGGTTTGCTCCAAAATATACACGGAGAAGGGAGAGCTTGAGTTTTTGGGGTTACAAAGCTGGGCAGCGGAGCCTGGTTTATCCTGCTCCAGGATTAAGCCTCTAAGAGATTTAAAACCTTCTTTTCTGCTGGATCTCACTGTGCTGATCACATAGTTAAAACATTGTGCCTCAGTTTCCCTTCGCCTCCAGCCTTTTCCAGATGTTTCCCTTCACTCTTTGAGAGATATTTTGGACTTGCTATGAGTTTCTGGTTGGCTGAGAGGCCTTACCTGTATAACAGGGTACCAGAGCTGGAGAATGCTGACCTGCCAGAGTAATGCCAAGACTTTTTAATCATGATGCCAGAGGTGACAAACATCCCTGTCCCTCCAGTGGCTTTTATACTGAAGGTGGGAGGGGGCAGAGGGGTCCTTGGGCAGGTAGTAATGCTTCTGTACTGTGTAACTGCAGAAAAAGAGACCCACTGGCAGCTGTTGCTCCTGAGCTTAGCTGGGAAGTGAGGACAATTAAGAGTTGAATTTATAATGGGTATAAACCAGGAATCTGAAAGCTCGTTCTTCATGGAGAAATGCATAACACGGCACAAGAAACAAGCAGCCTCCCTGATATCGGGAGCCCTTTGCCCCAGCAAAGAAAGCCCATAGCCTGGGTGTCTCAGGTGCAGTTGGTGGGCCTCCCAGGGCACTCCACGGGCAGCAAGACCTTTCTGTCCTGGCCCCTTTTGCCTGGGAGGAATCTTCATCCGTATTCAATTTTGGGAGGTAGAACCACCAATTAACACCTAATTAAGCATAACAATCATTCACATATCTGAATCAGCACCTAATTACACACATTAATGAATCACATATGCAAACTAGGCACCTAAGGTAAGGGAGGCAGCAGGCAATGCAAGGCAAGGGAGGGATCAGTAAGGGAAGAAAAAAAAAGGGGTAGGCAAGTTGAGGCAGAGAATGGGTATGAAAGGCAATGCAAGGAAGGGAGAGGTGGGCAGAGAGAGGCAAGGCAAGGTGAGGTGAGGCAGTGAAGAGGAAGGCCATTCCCTTAAGAGTTGGACTTGACAGTCCTTGTTAGTCCCTTGCAGCTCAGACTATTCTGTGAAATGTGTGAAGGCGAGAGCAAGTCCAGTGAGAGGTATGCAAGACGAGGAGAGGAAGGGGTGGGCAAGACAAGGCAAGTCAAAGGAGGGGAAGACAAGGCAAGACCAGGCCAGGCAAGCAAGGGGTAGGCAAGACAGCAAGGCAGGGGATGGGTATGCAAGGCAATTCAAGGCAAGGAAAGGGAGCAGAAGGTAAGGCAAGTCATGAGAGGGGCAAGTAAGGCAAGGCAACACAGGAACAGTTAATGCTAGGCTTGCAAAACAAGGTCGGTAGGGGTGGTCAAAGAAAGGCAAAGCAAGGTAGGGGAGAGGAAGGCAGGGTAAGGCAAGGTATGGGTAGGCCAAGCAAGGAGAGGTAGTGGTGCCCATGGAGTGTCCCGGCTGGCCCACCAACTGCACCACAAAGCCAAAGCTTCCAGACTTTCTTTCCTGGGGATAAGGGCTGTTTGCTTTTTCCAGCCCTGCACTGAAACTGCCATTCCTCCCAGACAAAATTCCAGAGGGACCAAGATTTTTCCCGGACAAAAGATGCCAGTGCAGAAAGGTCTTGCTGCCCATGGAGTGCCCAGGCTGGCCCACCAACTGCACCACAAAGCCAAAGCTTCCAGTCTTTCTTTCCTGGGAATAAGGGCTGTTGTTTGCTGCGCTCAAACTGCCAGCCTGACTCCCAAAATTGCATACGGACAAAAAAGGTGCCACACCAGAAAGCTCTTGCTGACCCTGGAGTGCCCAGGCTGGCTTACCAACTGCACCAGAAAACCAAAGCTTCCAGGCTTTCTTTCCTGGGGCTTGACAAGTTGTCAAAGTACTACTTAATGAAATTATCCCCAAGTTCATAGTACCTGACATCATCTCCTCGGACCGAGGACCACATTTTATAACTAAAGAATAAGCAGCATTCTGCAAATTGATTGGCAATTACATACTACATATCATCCACAGGCAAGTGGTCAAGTCCAGTCCGCTCTCGTACAGTCAGGTTCTTCTAACACAACCCTTCTTGTGGTGTATGTGTGGAGATTCCTCCCTTGGCTAAGGATGCCCTCCAAGGTCACTCCTCGAGGTTGAGAGAAAGAGATCACCCCATGAGCATTGGTATGGGTGAGTTACATCAGACCTCTACTTAATAATTATTTCTTTTCACTAGCTTTAATATAACTGCTTCAATAATTTCTTTGTTACAGTGCACAGTACTACTTTATGCTATATTATACTCTACCAGTAGATTTTTAGTGTTTATATCATGTAGTAAATAGTTTTGACTAAGATCTGTCTGATGATTTGTATAAAATAAATTATTCATTTTATATAAATATTATCATTTTGCCAATAATTAAAACCCACGGGACAAAAGTTGTTTAATCACACCTCTATAGTTCCTTAATATTAAACCATTAATATAATCCGAGGCTAAGATTGCGTTTAGCTGCACCTAGACTCCTCTCTGAGAAGGGGTTTAGAAAGCAAGGGAATCCTTTTTGTGCCTTGAAAATCACTGACAAGGCTTTACTTTTTAATAACTTTGTCTAAGCTTTCCACTCCCACCGTTGATACCCCTCATGCCCCAGTCAATACAACACAGACAAGGCTGCCCCATCCCAGGTGCAGAATCTGGCACTTGCCCTTGTTAAACTTCACACAGTTAGTGATTGACCATCTCTCTATTTTGTCGAGGTCTCTCTGCAGAGCCTCTCTGCCCTCGCCAGAGTCGACAGCTGCTCCCAATTTAGTGTCATCGGCAAACTTACTTAGTGTTCCTTTGAGTCCTGTGTCCAAGTCATTTATGAAGATGTTGAAGAGAACTGGGCTGAACATGGAGCCCTGTAGAGCCTCACTAGTGGCTCATCACCAGCCTGATGTCACCCCAGTCACTATAACAACTTCGCCAGTTGCTCACCCATCATGTAACATGGTTATCCAGCTGTATGCTGGATGTTTTGTCCAGAAGGATAGTGTGTGAGAGGGTATCAAGACAGATATCACTTAAGAAAATATCTAAGGAAAAGGAAAAAAGAGAAAGAAAGGATAAGAGTAGATAGTGGAGAGGAAGGCTATCACCACCTGTGGGTCCAGCGACTAGACTTCATTGTTGCAATTTGGATGTCTGTTGGTCCAAGTGACGGTCACATGCCTCAATCCCTCCAAGGCGGGGAAAGCCCGTGAAGCAAAATTTAATGGGTTCAGGTGGGAACACCCAGCTACCTTCCCTGGG